CGTCCAACTATCGCCCAATAGCTATAACCTCCTTGTTCTCCAAAATAATGGAATCCATTGTTAATTGCCAGCTCTTGAGGTATCTAGAGGGCCACCAGCTGATAAGCGATTATCAGTACGGCTTTCGTCGTGGTCGTTCGGCTGGTGACCTTCTTGTATACCTTACACATAGATGGGCAGAGGCAATTGAGTCCAAGGGGGAGGCGCTAGCGGTTAGTTTGGACATAGCGAAAGCCTTCGATCGGGTGTGGCACAGAGCACTGCTCTCGAAGCTTCCAGCCTATGGGCTTCCCGAGAAATTACGCAATTGGATCTCCAGCTTTCTGGCCGATCGGAGCATCAAGGTCGTCATCGACGGAGCATGTTCCGACCTAAAACCCGTAAACGCTGGGGTCCCACAAGGCTGTGTTCTATCCCCGACCCTATTTCTTCTGCATATCAATGATATGTTGAAACTTAGCAACATTCATTGCTATGCGGATGACAGTACTGGGGATACTTTTTACACTGGCCGGGCAGGTATTTCTCGGGCAGTTGTTGATGAGTACCGGAACAAACTTGTGTCTGAAGTTGAAACTCTACTTCGTGGAGTCTCAGATTGGGGCAGACAAAACCTAGTCCAATTTAACCCCAAGAAGACACAAGTTTGCGCGTTTTCCGCTAAAAAAAACACCCTTTGTCGCTACTCCTCTTTTCGAAAACACTCTTCTTAAAGCCACAGCCAGCATTGGAATACTTGGCGTTGACATATCGAGCGACGTTCAGTTTCGCGGTCACTTGGAGGGAAAGGCTAAATTAGCCTCCAAAAAGCTTGGTGTGCTCAGCAAGGCGAGACGGTACTTCACTCCGGGCCACCGCCCGCAACTATATAAAGCGCAAATTCGGCCCCACATGGAGTACTGCTCTCACCTCTGGGCGGGGGCTCCCCAGTACCAGCTCCTTCCACTTGACCGTATACAACGCAGAGCGGTTCGAATCGTTGACGACCAATCCCTCTCCGAGCGGCTTGATCCTTTGGCGTTGCGTAGAGATGTGGGGTCACTCTGCATCTTCTACCGCATTTACCATGGAGAGTGTTCAGAGGAGTTGTTCGGATTAATACCTGCAGCTGAGTTTCATCATCGGACGTCGAGGCAGAATACGAAATTCCACCCGTATCACCTCGACGTCCGACGTTCCACAACTGAGCGTTTCTCAAGGCAGTTTTTGCCGCGCACCACCACTATGTGGAACCAGCTGCCCACTGAAGTATTCCCGAACCAATTCGACTTAGGGTCCTTCAAGAAAAGAGCGTACCAATTTTTAAAAGGCCGGCAACGCACTCGCGAGCCCTCTGGCATTGAGAGTGTCCATGGGCGGCGGTATCACTTAACATCAGGTGAGCCTCCTGCCCGTTTGCCCCCCGTTCTATAAAAAAAAAAAAAAAAAAAAAAAAAATAGTTTAGGCCCTGCGGGGTTAATTCATAGTAAGTAATCTTCTCTGTTATGGAAGAGGTTTTCATACAAAACAACATTTTTATATAATTGCTTATGCTAATACTTTACACCCCAATAAGCGTCTAATTATTTAAACATTTAATTAATGTATTTGTATAAAAAGTTAATTTAAAATGCGATAATTAAAGATAAAAATTTCGTGACCTTTATTTTTACGTTTTTCAAAAGCGCTATATTGTTAATGTTTGGATAATAAAATGTTTATAAAAATATGTCTGTTATTTAGTTAATAACACCAAAAACGATTACAAATAATCCACAATGCAACCAAAATACTATGAAATACAAATTAATGTAGATACATTTTTATGTGTGTATTACCTAACGTGTGAACGTATGATAGAATATTTAGTAACATAATTACATTATAATTGGAATCCGTGGACTCTTGTGAAATGTGTAATTTCGAATTTAATTTCCTAATTATGGAATTCCAGTGAGGATACTTTGTTTGTGACATTTAATTTGTGGCATTTGGTATTGGATGCGGTGTATGGACAATAAGGTATATCAAACTTTTCATAGTATCTATTTAAATTTAATCAAAAGTTATTAAGAGGAACGGTAATGGTGGAGCAAAAATGTTTTGTTATATTTTTGAAATACCAATCTGAAACTGAGAACGTGTGAAGCGAAGTGACTTTAGTTCTAAGTATTGTAAGTGATATTTATTTAAAGTAGTAACAGTTTTGAGGGATGAGAATGAGTTATATTTGAAAACATTTATCCAAAAGAGGAATCAGTTTGCGTTACTCAAAGTATAGTAATTGGAACATTTATAAAATTATGGAGAGTTTCTGTCGTTGCATGTAACGCCTCAATGATTATATATATTACGATAGTAGGTATCCTGACATGTATTTAATTTACTAAAAATAAATTGAGGAATATTGAAATTTAAATACTTTGATTTTTTTTCTTAATGACTTCAAGCCTATAGACCGGAATTCATGAAATTTTGCAGGAGGCTATCAGGAGTTAGATGATGGAAATGTCCAACATTTTTCGAAAATAAACTTTGCAGTCAGAAACACGTCATTCCAGCCAATCACAATAAAGCGCACCGTTTTGTCTTTTGAATTACTTTATCATCTGTGGCCTTAAAAAATCTGCCAAGTCATCAGAAGAAGAACCCACGCGATTCGCTAGACGATTGTGCCCATCGTTTCCTAACGTCGATTACACTATGAGGCACATTTTCATCCACCGATTTTGATCCTTTACGATCGACATTTTATCGGATCACGTGTTTTAGACAAAGGATATATAAAATCAAGCGTGCATTGACACGTGAAATGCCTATGAGCGCCGACAAAGCGGATGGGAATGTTTGACTTTAGAGGCTATTTGTGAGATTGATGCCCGAATACTTAAAGGCTACTTGACGCCACTCGGCTTTAATTTTGATACTTTTGCAGATTTATTGTAACTAAATACCTGCATATTAGCAGTGATGGCCTAGTGGTTTAAGCGTTCGACTCTCATCCCTAAAGTCGTAAGTTCGATCCCCGGCTGTGCACCAATGGACTTTCTCTCTATGTGCGCATTTAACATTCGCTCAAACGGTGAAAGAAAACATCCTAAGGAAACCAGCTTGAAAGCGTTTATCAGGCACAGGAGGCTGATCACCTACTTGTTTATTAGATTGACAAAAAATGATCATGAAACTAATATAAAAATCTGACCCAGACCTAAAAAGGTTGTAGCACCGCTGATTTGCTAATTTTAAATACCTTCATATACGATATGGTAATGTATAATTGAAGTCTCTTTAGTAAGTTTCTATTCAAGATTTTTATTTACATGACAATTAGAGAGCTTGTGTGAATCGTGGTATTTGGTGTGGTTACAAATTGTTAATATATTTTTATCAGTTCAGAAATTGAACAAATACGGTACTACCATAAATCCACGTTTTTAGGTCGTTCGACTTCAGTTAAAAAGCATAGGCTGCTTGGCTTGTAAGAAGCATATGGAAATATGTATGCCCCATTCTTAATATCAACCTTACTTCGTACTAATGAGGAAAATAATTATGTTTAATTAATTTTAGTTACGGATAATTTTATGTCCAAAGAAATGTTATTTTTCTATGTTCCTTTTTATGTGGAATCCCTCAATACACCGATAGAAAGTATATTCTTGCGACTTCATTGATAGGTAAATGGGTGAACAGGGCCTGATACGTCGTCGATTTTCGGTTTTTAGACAAGGGCGTCTCGCGATATCCATCACCGTGGCTAGTGGTAATTGCGACACAGAGAAAAGTTATTTGGTGCCTCACATTCGTACAGATATTGATCTAACACTGATTCCAACACCGCTTCTACGTCTAAGTATTTATTGTCAATGTATTTAAATCGATCACTACTGATGGGTATAAAGATAAGCTTGGGTCTAAATCGTTGATCCCTGGTTTAACACCAATGCGGGACCAACATCAAACACGTATTGACACCACTGAAATCCCTTTGATAGATTTATAGACATCTTACTATCACCATGGTGAGGGATTTGGGGCGTGACTTTCGCAGTTTTGGATATAGGTCACAAGGGGTTAAGAGATTGGAGGAGTCGTTTTTTTGTGTTTTTAGCATGTGCCTAGCAGGCTGGCTTTTTGTTGGATAATATACTATTGTAGGATATTGAATAGGTCAAATATATACTATGATCTAATAATATTTAAGTTATGAGCAGTACCCATACAAAAAAAATCAGTAGCGCTACAACCTTTTTTAGGTCTGGACTTCAGATTTCTGTATCTGTTACATGATCATTTCCCATCTATCAGCCTCCTGTGCCTGACACACGTCGTCGACTTTTTGGGTCTAACACAAGCCGGTTTCCACACGATGTTCTCCTTCACCGTTCGAGTGAATGTTAAATGCGCACATAGAAAGAAAATTCATTGGTGCACAGCCGAGGATCGAACCTACGACCTCAGGGATGAGAGTCGCACGCTGAAGCCACTAGGCCAACACTGCTCAGTCCAAATCGGTCCAGGCAGACTTTTAACGTATGTAACAGTGGGGCAAATAATATAGGGTTAGGTTACTGTATCATAATGTTTAAATGACAATCCTTAAAACAATTTTATAATAATAATGCTTTGTTATTTCTAAACAAGAAATATTAAATGCCACCTTATTTATCCCACAGCTAGGACTCATCAATTGTATAGTAAGAAAATATCAGAACGATTATATATAAAACGTAATTAGCAAGGCTTTGTGATTCATTCTCACTCTACGTAAATCTTTGTAAAATTAATAACGAAAATCTTCACCCATTTGCCAAGAAAATGCTGAAAAACAGCGACAATTATAAAATATTGTAAAAGCGGGCATCTGTCTTTTCGATTGATTATTCAAGTTAAAAACGAAGCTAAATTTTCCTTAGGAAACTTGCCAAGTCACCAACGTAGCATCTGGCATGGGCCCATTTGGCCAAGTTCTGCGCCTACAACACTCATGGTTATTGCTATAATTGTAACAAATGCCAATTTATTCCACAACATCATCAGGTTTCAGCACTCCAAAATACACTTGGCGCCATGGTTTCACGATAATAGCATTTATAACTTAAATTTATACATATATATATATATATGTATAACTTCTAACGCGTGGACATAAGTACACACACATGTTTTTTTGTTACGGACCTTTGTTCCTTTCATTATAAGGTATTTCTATTGGATTTTTTATTTATAATGAGTCTTATAAATGTCCATATAGGTTGTAGAATGATGCTAAAATGTTTTAAGTTAAGACTTAATGTAATTTGATTGGCTAGGACAACATCAATTATATCAGACAGCGACCGGTTGATAATTCAGTATTAATATATCTAATAGACATGATCAAATTCAAATATAAAATTACAACATTAGCACCTCATTCGGTCCTCAGTCAGAATTTTGGTTCTTTTTTTAAATAAATAACAGCATGCTTAAAGATATAATTATATCTTTATGGTTTTCTAAATAACCTACATATAACAAATTATTCAAAATGAAGCAAAACAATTTAATCAAATAAATTCTGATCTGACAATTGTAATTATATTTAATACTTTAACGACTAATATTAATTAAATGCAATCATCCGGTTTATTTTATCCGGTAAATCTATTTGTGGTGTAGCTACGACTCGCTGAATTGGTTTAGTAATAAATTAATTCAATATTTCTGCGTGTACTTTGAAAATGACGGAACTGTGCGCATATTTTATAAAACTGAAATAGAATTAGCTTACTATTCTTAATTTGAAATATAATTAACAATATGTACTTACCTTTAAAATATCGTACAAGTTGAAAGATTGATTTCACTTGGAACTTATTGTTTTCAAAAATAGAACACTTGTTGTTTAAAAAAATGCTTAGTTACCGCCCAGTTGCGTTTCCATTTTGTACTGTACAGTCAATAACGGTAAAATCAACTGTGCCATTTATGCTGAATTGTTTCGTTTTTTTATTATAAGTTCACCTACTTATGAAATATTACTTCTATAACGACCTAGTAATTTATAATTAATTCTAACATATCTGCAACGAAACCCGAAAATAAAAATATAACTATGTACTTACGTTTATCTATAAAACTGAATGTTCCCAAGAAGCCGGTTGCATTAGTCTGCCTAGCTCCTGTGTGAAACTCCAGCACCAAAGACTGCCCAGGCGAGTACAGGGCGGGCGGGATATCAGCACGACCGCCGCAGAGTTGCTTTGCCCAGCCCGACCTTTCATTGATGGCTCCAGGTGGCCCAGGACCTTGCACTTCCCAGTACACCTTTATGTAGTCTCCTCTTGAGCAACTGAAAAATACATACAAACTATTAGAATCTAATCAAGTTGCTTTTGTTCAGATTAAAGTGCTATTATTAGAAAATACTTGTGTGCAAGCTCTTCCGAGCTATTCATGGTTTCGTCCTAAGTGCGTACTTAGGAACTTAAATAATGCTATACTCTGATTTTTGATTCCGTAAAATTCTGACATTTCATAAATGTTGCTACTAAAAAAGTTCTCCACCGAAAAAGGGACAAATTTGACCCATTTTAGAGCAATCAAATAAAATGGTACGTATTGTTTATGTTTTCCCTACAAAAAGGTAAATCTTAATATTTACTTACTCAAGTGACAAAAATAACAAATATTTCAATATCACGAACAATATATCGAATTAAGTTTAATTACTTTATTTTATTCTTTAGCTGGCATCACTGCCTACTTATTCCAGGTTTAGTAAACCTTTAAAAAAAAATGTTATCTTTACTTGTGCGTTTTTTACTGTTTGTGATGACTTGGGACGTAATTATCAGTCGCCGTAAAACTACTTTTAATGTTGGGCACCGCACTTAATAAAATGGATATGTACTAACAAATAAACTGTTTGTATAGAGTCAGATGTTGACTCGTATTGAAATTATAAATGTGCCCGGCCAAAAAGGTTTGTAAACTCTGAAATGTCAAAAAATTATGGCTGTCACAATTCTGCGGAATTAAAAATCAGAGTATAGTCAACGTATTTTGGGATTAAAAATAGACTATGAAAGGAAAATAAGGGATGACCGGCAATAAACAGTTTTGTGACAAGCCAGTAAGATCTGATTCATTAAGATAATAATATTAAAATGTATAACATGACTTCACTTTTGTTTAGAAGTGTATAAGACATAATTGTAAAGCAAATATTTAAAACGGAATTTTATTTTTTTAGCGTTTTCAAACAATAATTAGGCTAGAGCGAATGCAATTAGAAATGCAGCACTAAAAGGGGAAATATAGAAGGTATTTTAATAATTCATCTGCATAATTTGGCGCAATAAACGCTCATTAAGCGTATTAAGATGGTATGCGGAGATATACGGAAGCGAAATGCATTTAGTCAAAGAGATGTTGAAACATCCTGACGCTATATTTACTTATACAATATTATTTATGAAGCAGTGTTGGCCTAGTGGCTTCAGCGTGCGACCCTCATTCCTGAGGTCGTAGGTTCGATCCCCGTCTGTGCACATATGGACTTTCTTTCTATGTGCGCATTTAACATTCGCACGATCGGTGAAGGATAATATCGTGAGGAATCTGACATGTCTTAGACCCAAAAAGTCGACGGCGAATGTCAAGCTGATCACTTGCCTATTACATTGAAAAATTAAGATTGACTGTTTTTTTTTTTTTTTTTTGAAAATAGTTTGTCTGTGGGTGATATAGTTTTTAGGTTTCTTACTTATTTAAATTGTTAAAATAATACGTGGATACAAAATTATTACAAAGAAGCGATAAAAGTGATACTCTGTTGATATACTTTGTCTACCCAAAGGTTTAAATGAGACGATTGAAGACAGACGATATATTAAAAACGTTAAAGAAATGCAATAAAATTATACACTTTCTTGATAAAATAATGATATAATTATAGTAAGCATCTCTTAAACTTGGAATTACTGAACCGAGAGAGCTTATGCGCAGTTATTTTAATGTAATTAAAACTGTTATTTTAAACTCGCTCGTAATATCTGGTATTTTATGTTAACCGATCTTGTGGAAATATTTGCTGTGAACAAATTATATCCGTTATACAATCGGGAGTTAAAATTTAAGACTACACGAATACATTTAGTTAATTATTTTGGTATTGTTTAGACCATTTGAACCGGTACACATCGAAGAGCATCATCGCATTAGACAAAACAACATCACACACATGTAACATTTTTGAGGAACATGTATAATATTTAACATTTTCTCGCTAGACCTTTTGGTATAAAAGTAAATATAAATAGAATTATCGATAGCGTATAAAGACGACGAAACCTTTTTACGTTAAAGAAGCTTTAGCGAAAATCTAAACTTAAATCTAAAAGGCTCTATATTTTAAAGGAACAAGCATTAGTGTCATCTTACGATGGTTTATTGAAAGAATGCTGTTGAATGATGATTCAACGGTTAAAATGTGTGTAATAATTTCTGATTAATAGTTCAAATATTTTATTATATCGTACTGGCTGTACTCCAGTGTTGGCCTAGTGGCTTCAGCGTGCGACTCTCATCCCTGAGGTTGTAGGTTCGATCCTCGGTACCAATAGCCTTTTTTCTAAGTGCGCATTTAACATTTGCTCGAACGGTGAAGGAAAACATCGTGAGGAAACCGGCTTGCCACAGGAGGCTGATCACCTACTTGCCTATTAGATTTACAAATGATCATCAAACAGATATAGAAATCTGAAGAAAAACCTACCTAAAAAAAAGGTTGTAGCGCCACTGATTTATTTATTTTTTTATTTTACTGGCTGTACTTAGGATTAAAATTGATTTTGTGATCTATCGAGGTTAATATCGAGGTTATACTAGTTATTAATAGTTAAAGGTCGTCAATCGGTTCTAAATTATTCTTGTTGTGTCTTTTGACTAGCAGATCATTCTCAACTTTGAAAATTCAAACTTATATATTATTGATTCGATTAATGATTTTAACAAAAGGATTTATAATTTTTAGAAAATAGTAGTCAAATTTACAACTGTTTGACATATTTTGTTCCCGTTCTCCTATTACCCCAGCTCGTTAGTAGTATTAATAAAAAAACAGTAGTATAGCCCCTACAACCTTTTAGGTATAAGCCTTAGATGTATAAGTTATGTGATCTTTTGCTTTTTTTAAAAGGCTAGTAGGTGATTAGCCTTCTGTGTCCGGCATACTTCGTCTTGACGGATATCGGTCTAAGGCATTCTGATTTCGTCACAATGTTTTCCTTCACAGTACGAGCGAGTGTGGTGTAAGTGCATACATAGACAGAAAGATTGCTGCACAGCGATACTACGACCTCCGCCTATATAGTCTGTCTCACTCTAACGTGTACCGGCCGCGCTTACGCTACGTCACCGATCTCGTCAGAGAGATGTGAATACACAGTATGCATTCTGTCCCACTCTAATGCACCTGCGCTACGTCAGCGATCACGCCAGACCGATGTGAGACGCAGTATGCGTTCTGTCCCGCTCGTGCGTTAGGTTTTTATTTTCGTTACGGAATTTCTTGATTCGGTCGCCGCGCTCAAAGCCCGCGATCAAATCTATGCAATAGCCTAAAAATGTTAATGGAAAAGAATAAATTATATTCTATTTGATTGCGTTCCTAAATAGGAATTCCAAAGATATCTCAAAATTCAATTACTCTCAAGTATGTAAATAAAACGCCTCGCCGCTGTTCACGCTTCTTTAACTTTCATTTAAATCAATACCATTCAAGATTATTTATTCGATAGATTGGTATTTCATTATATAAGAAATTCAATTAAAGAGACTGCATCATTATCAGTGTGCTACAGCTAATATGGCGTTGGCCTGGTCGAGTCATTACAGGGAGGTTCTAGGCTTTATTTCTATAGCTAGCAGGTTTTGATTAAGATTTTTTGACTGCCTTGTCGCCCGTTGTAATTTCTGTAGAAAAGCCGCTTTATATTAGCTGACCTGGCGAACTTCGTACCTCGTCAATGAATGTCGTGTTAGAGATTAGCTAAACTTAATTTAAGATTTAATAAAAGTATAAATACAAAATAATTAATATTAAGTTCGCTACCAGCAATATATTTTCATTACTTCTACATTTAAAAAATCAATTATATGCCATTATCGTTATATTGCGGATATATCTTCTCGATTCGACATCTTTATTTAAATACGTTCTTTAATATGAGAGGAGAGTTCACCGTATCGACAGGATGAACATTATATGTTTGACATTTATGAAATTCTTGTTAATAGGATTTTTTTTCGTAAAATTTACAATAGTTGTTTTTTTCGGGATGAAGATAAATACAACAAGACAATAATAATAAATCGTTTTATTTGCCAAGATAGTGGTACAATTAGATCGATCAACTACAAAAATTCTCACAATCAGCCATATATAAACACTTAAACAGGCATGCAAATGGCATATTAATTTTTAATTTTTACAATGTCATATTATAAGAACATTAACATAAAGTCATAATATTATTGTCAAACTTACGGTTTAAATACTTGCCTACGCTATAAAGGCACCTTGCCTTTAAAAATTTAGGACCCACAGCCGTGATGGATTCTTTAAATGTTTTGAACAATTTTGGATGTTTTTTTACAGTCATAACTGCTTCAAGGATATATTAGGTCCTTACATATGAAATTGGCGTTTTGTATGGGAGGAACAAAAAGGCGAATATTTTTAAATAAAATATTTAAAATTTTAAATATAAAATTAATCAAAGTATGAACCATTGTTTTCTATGCACTTTTGCCATCTCATAGGTAGTTCATTGATCCCTTTACTAAAAAACCAGTCGGACGGGAATCAATAAAATCTGTGAAGGCGATTTGGACTGCCCCATCAGAGTTAAATTTTTTCCCTTGCAAGAAGTTGTCCAAATTTCGAAAAAAATGGTAATCTGTTGGAGCAAGGTCCGGGGAGTACGGAGGATGTCTTAGACATTCCAATTGAAGCTCTTCTAATTTGGTAGCCGTCTGTTGTGCAGTGTGTGGTCTAGCGTTGTCGGGAAGTAGCAGTGGCGTGGAGCGATTGACCAGCCTAGGTTGTTTAGCCGCTAGCTTTTCCATCATGGTTTGCAATTGCTGACAATAGACATCAGCCGTAATAGTCTGGCCAGATTTGAGAAAACTGCAATGAACAATAACGGCACTAGTCCACCATACGCTTACAAGTAACGTTAATTTTCGCTTGGGGCAGGATTTGGCTGGCTGGCCAGGATCCAACCATTGCGCTGAGCGCTTCCGATTATCGTAAAGAATCCATTTTTCATCACAGGTAATGATTCGGTTTAAAATACCTTCATTATTGTGCCGGTTCAGTAATGTAACGCAGCAGTCGACGCGCGTTTGCCGGTTTGCTTCAGTCAATTCGTGAGGTATCCATATTTCAAGC